TGACACTATAGAAATACAAAGAATTATAAAAGAATATTATGAAAAATTATGTCAAAATATTGGACAACCTAGAATAAATGTATAAATTCTTAGAAACATATAAGCCACCAAAACTGAAACCAGAGGAAAATTTGAACTGATAAATTACCAGCAATGAAATTGAATTGATAATCAAAAAAAAAACAAAAACAAAAACAAAAAAAAAAAACCCAACAAACAAAAGTCAAGGACCAGATGGCTTCACAGGTGAATTCTACCAAACATTTAAAGAAGAGTTAATACCTATTCTCAAAATTTTCCAAGAAACAGAAGAGGAAAAAAATCTTCCATATTTGTTCTATGAGGTCAGCATTACTCTGATACCAATACCAGATAAAGACATTAAAAAAAGAAAACTAGGCCAATATCTCTGATGAACATAGATGCAAAAATCCTCAACAAAATATTAGCAAACCAGGGGCGCCTGGGTGGCGCAGTCGGTTAAGCGTCCAACTTCAGCCAGGTCACGATCTCGCGGTCCGTGAGTTCGAGCCCTGCGTCAGGCTCTGGGCTGATGGCTCAGAGCCTGGAGCCTGTTTCCGATTCTGTGTCTCCCTCTCTCTCTGCCCCTCCCCCGTTCATGCTCTGTCTCTCTCTGTCCCAAAAATAAATAAACGTTGAAAAAAAAATCAAAATATTAGCAAACCAAACCCAAAAATACATTTAAATAATTATTCACCATGAGCAAGTGGGATTTTTTCCCCTGAGATACAAGGGTAGTGCAAAGCAATCAATATGTTATATCACATTAACAAAAGAAAGGATAAAAATCATATAATCATTTTAATAAATGTAGAAAAGGCATCTATTTGACAAAGTATAATATTCATTCATGATAAAAACCCTCAACAAGGTAGGTGTGAAAGGAACATACCTCGATAAAATAAAGGTCATATATGAAAAACTCACAGCTAACATCATAGTCAATGGAGATAAACTGAGAGCTTTTCCCCTAAGGTCAGGAATAAGACAAGGATGTCCATTCTCACCACTTTTATTCAACATAGTACTAGCAGTCCTAGCCATAGCAATCAGACAAGAAAAAGGAATAAAAAGAATCTAAATTGGTAAAGAAGAAGTAAAACTCACTACTTGCAGATGACATACTATATAGAGAAAACCCTAAAGACTCCACCAAAAAACTACTAGAACTGATACATGAATTCAGTAAGAAAACAGGATTCAAAATCAATGCACAGAAATCTGTTGCATTTCCATACACCAATAATGAAGCAGTAGAAAGAGAAATTAAGAAAACAAACCCATTTAGGGGCACCTGGGTGGCTCAGTCAGTTGAGCATCGGACTTCAGCTCTGGTCATGATCTCACAGTTCATGGGTTTGAGCCCTGCATCAGGCTCTGTGCTGACAGCTTGCTCAGAGCCTGGAGCCTGCTTCAGATTCTGTGTCTCCTTCTCTCTCTGCCCCTCCCCCACTCACACTTGGTCTCACTCTGTTACTCAAAAATAAATAAATGTAAAAAAAAAATTAAAAGAAAAGAAACCCATTTACAATTACACCAAAAAAATAAATAAATAAAATAAAATACCTAGGAAAAAACTTAACCAAAGAGGTAAAAGACCTGTACTCTGAAAACTATAAAACAATGGTGAAAGACATTGAAGATGACACAAATAAATTGAAAGATATACCATGCTCATTGCCTGAAAGCACAAATATTGTTAAGATGTCTATAGTACCCAAAGCAATCTACACATTTAATGCAATACCTATCGAAATACCAACAGCATTTTTCACAAAACTAAAACAAGCAATCCTAAAATTTGTAAGGAACCACAAAAATAAAAAAAACCCAAATAGCCAAAGAATCTTGAAAAAGAAGAAAATCAGAGATATTACAATTCCAGACTTCAAGTTACATTAAAAAGCTAGCTACTAATCAAAACCATAGGGTACTGGAAGAAAAGTAGACACCTAGATCAATGGAACAGAATAAAGAGCCCAGAAATAAACACATGATTCAATAACTCTTTGACAAAAAGAAGCAAAAATATGCACTGGGAAAAAATGGGAAAAACTTCACCAATGGTGCTGGGAAAACTGGAAAGCTACATGCAAACCACTTTCTTACACCAAACACAAAGGTAAACTCAAAATAGATTAAGACCTAAATGTAAGACATAAAACCATAAAGTTCCTAAAAGAGAGAACAAGTAATAATTTCTCTGGCATTGATTGTAGCAACATTTTTCTAGATATGTCTCATGACATAAGAAAACAAAAGGAAAAATCATGTTAGGATGGCTAAAAACAAAAACTAAAGAAACAATAAGTACTGATGCTGATGTGGAGAAAAAGGGACCTTCGTGCGCTATTGGTGGAAATGCAAACTGGTGCAGCCACTGTCGAAGACAGTATATATGGAGGTTTCTTAAAAAATTAAAAGTTGTGGGGTGCTTGAGTGGCTCAGTCAGTTGACTCTTGATTTCGGCTTAGGTCATGATCCCAGGGTTGTAGGATTGAGCCCCACACACTCTGTACAGATACAAAGCCTGCTTGATATTCTCTCTCTCTCTCTCTCTCTCTCTCTCTCTCTCTCCCTCCCTCCCTCCCTCCCTCTCTCTCTCTCTCTCTCTTTCCTTCTGCCCGCCCCCCCCATCTCTTAAAAAAAAAAAATAGAACTACCATAAGATCCATTAGTTCCACTACTGGACATTGACCCAAAGAATATGAAAATACCAAATTGAAAAGATACATGCACCCCTATATTTCTGAAGCATTATTTACAATAGCCAAAACGTAGGAGCAGCCCAAGTGTCCATGGATAGATGAATAAAGAAGGTGTATGTGTGTATATATATAAATATACATGTAATGAAATATTAGTTAGCCATAAAAGAGAATAAAGTCTTGCCATTTTCATCAACATGGATGAGTCTAGAGAGTATAATGCTAAGCAAAATAAGTCAGTCAGAGAAAGACAAATACCATTTGATCTCACTCATGTGGAATTTAAGCAATAAAACCAATGAAGAAAGAAAGAAAAAAAAGACAAACCAAAAACACTCTTAACTATAGATAACAAAGTGATGGTTACCAGAGGGGAGGTGGGTGAGGGGATGAATGAAATAGATGAAGGGATCAAGAGTACATTTATCATGGTGAGCACTGAGTAATCCATACAATTGTTGAATCAGTATATTGTACACCTGAAACAAATACAACATTGTATGTTAACTACGCTGGATTAAAAATTTTTAAGTGTGCTTATAGTCAATTTAAAGAAAAAACAAAGAAAAAGGAAAAAAAGAATTTGCAACCAACATTCTTAAAAGTGAAGGAAAGACAGGGATGCCTGGGTGGCTCAGTTGGTTAAGCATCTGACTTTGGCTCAGGTCATGATCTCTCAGTCTGTGGGTTTGAGCCCCGCGACCAGCTCTGTACTGACAGCTCAGAGCCTGGAGCGTGCTTCGGATTCTGCGTCTCCCTCTCTTTCTTCCCCTTCCTTGCTTGCACTCTGTCTCTCCATCTCTCTCAAAAATAAATAAACATTAAAAAAAAAAACTTAAAAAAAAAAAGAAAGTGAAAGAAAGACTAGGGAACTATTCCAAATTAAAGGAGACTAAAACATGGTAATTAAAGTAACATGTAATTCTAAATTGAATTTTTTTTGTATAAAGAAAATTTTTAGACAATTGGTGAAACTTAAATAGGATTGGAGAAGAACATGTTAATAATGTAGCAATGTTAATGTCCTGATAGCAATGGTTATATTGTACTTATCTAGTAGAACATATTCTTTTTTGTCATAAACACATACTACTCTACTGAGAGCAGATGGAGGATCAAATGGTGCAGGAATAAAAGATCTTCATTGTGTATTTGTTCTTTTTATTTATGTTTATATTGTTTCAAAATTTAAAAATAAGGAAACATGTAGGTACTGCCGTACACCTTCAATTTGGGGCATGTGTCATAAATTAATGAAATCCTAACATTGACTAGGAAGCAAGAGAGAGGTTTCTTTTTGGGGTAAACCCTCTTACATGTAGAATTGGTCATATTATCCCAGGGAAGTGGAATATGTGAAATGCTTGTTGGCATCAACTTTAAAGTTTAAATTAGTTCTAGCTACCTTTTGGGGGGAATATCTGTTCTGTTTTATAGTCAAAGAAATTAAGTTTTTTAAATGTATTTATTTTTGACAGAGAGAGAGAGAGAGAGAGAGAGAAAGAGAGAGAGAGAGAGAGAAGTGGGGGAGCAGCAGAAAGAGAGGGACAGAGAGGATCCCAAGGAGGCTCCACACTGTCATGAACTGTGAGATCATGACCTGAGTCAAAATCAAGAGTGGTATGCTTAACCAACTGAGTCATCCAGGTGTCCCAAAGAAATTCAGTTCTATGGTTAAAGCAATTCACAGTTTTTATTTCCTTCCTTCTTTCTTTTGATTGTTATTGTTTTTATTTTATATTTTACATACATGCCCCCTGACACTAGTCTTAGGGGGCATTATTTTTTTTTGTAATTTTAATTAATCCCCGTGTGTCTCTTATGAGCAAAATGATAAAACTGTGGCTCTAATTGTTAGCACACAATTTGAAGCAAGAATTCTTTGTTACAAAATTCGGGTTCCTTTCATATGGGAAACTTCCTAAAACATCTTTCTATTTAGAGCATTGCATTTTCACTTAGAATTTTTATGGAGATATTCTCCTTCATTTTAATATATAAGAAAAGAAGACAGAAAATGAATCTTATCTGGCCTGAAAGAGGATTTTAACTGAATTATTTGTAATGTCTGGGTCATTTTAATGAGCGTGAGTGAAAGTGAAAGATATTAAAAGATGCAGATAATTTCCAGAATACATATCTGTTTTAGAATTCTTCTCCAGAAAACCTTTGGAATTAAATTTCCTCTTAAAATATTGAATTTTTTTATAATATTGTAAGAGAGAAAATACTCATCATTTATTTTTTACTCCTGTTTTTACCATATTCCCACAGGGAGAAAAGTATATCAATGTATCCAAGATATGGTAAGTCATTTATAATTAGCAATAAATATCTAGATCATATATAAAAAGCAATTCTGCAAGTACAAGTCAGATAATATCCATTGACTTTAGAACTGTCATAGATTTTTCTATTTTCATGCAGATGCAATAGTCAAAACTTCCTGATTAAATGCAACTAATATGAGAAGACTGATGTGTTTGAAACCAAAGAAAAATAATAAAGTGAAATGAGATGAAGGAACAATGGGGATGTACTACATCGGGACAAAATAATTAATGAATATTAATTATTAGAATATTTCAATCATATAAAAATATGTAATTGTCATTATTTCTGTATTTCACATATTTTTAAGTGTTCTAGTGAGCTAAGGACTTTTGAATAAACGCTGTAAGTTGACATTGGTACAATTTTCTAGATGTTATAAGTATTTTTTCAATAATTTATAAGATATACAAAGAAAATACATTTAAAGTCATACTTATGTTTATTTAGAACATTTAAACAGAATTCAGCTCATCTGGAGATGATCAGCTCAAATTTAAATTATCTTTCAATTGCAAATAGGGAAAAAGAAAACATTCAATACTGTTATAACTGTGGCTCAAATGGAACAATCAGAGGCTGCATAGGTTGATCTATGCTATAATTTTAAGTATCATCTGTCTTGTTAAATTGGATCAACCTTTTAAACTTGTTTACATTTCTGACTATGTTTATCTTTCTGTTTGTAGTTTTTAAAAAAAAATTTCTTCTTTCCACTTTTGGGGTTGTTTTCCTATGTCTATTTCATAGGACTCAAATCTGAAATGAGGAATCAGTCAAGAGAGATGGAGTTCATTCTCCTAGGACTGACCGATGACCCACAACTGCAAATTGTGATTTTTGTATTTCTCTTTCTAAATTATGTGTTGAGTGTAATGGGGAACTTATCCATCATCCTTCTTACCTTGCTAGATCCCCGCCTCAAGACTCCCATGTATTTTTTCCTCCGAAATTTCTCCTTCTTGGAAGCTTCATTGACAACAGTCTGTATTCCCAGATTCCTGATAAGCATCGTGACTAAAAACAAAACAATATCCTATGACAGTTGTGCATCTCAGTTATTCTTTTTCCTCTTATTAGAAATTACAGAATTTTACCTACTGGCTGCCATGTCTTTTGACCGTTATGTAGCAATCTGCAAACCCCTACATTACCCAGTGATTATGAACAACAAAGTGTGTTACCAACTTCTATTCAGTTCATGGACATCAGGCTTTCTATTTACATTTCCACCATTGGCCTTGGGACTGACACTGGAATTCTGTGCTTCCAGAGTAATTGATCATTTCATGTGTGACATTTCCCCTGTGCTGCAGCTTTCTTGCACTGATACTCATTTCCTGGAATTATTTTCATTTGTCTTAGCTATTTTAACACTCCTAGTCACATTGCTGTTAGTGATTCTTTCTTACACATATATTATCAAGACCATTCTAAAAATCCCCTCTGCTCAGAAAAGAACAAAGGCTTTTTCTACTTGTTCTTCTCATATAATTGTGGTCTCCCTTACTTATGGTAGCTGTATCTTTAATTACATAAAACCAACAGCAAAGGAAAGGGTAACTTTATCCAAAGGTGTAACTGTTATCTATACCTCAGTTGCCCCTTTATTAAACCCTTTCATTTACACTCTAAGAAACCAGCAAGTGAAACAAGCCTTCAAAGATATACTCCAAAAGACTTTCTATTTTTTCAAAAAATGAAAAGAAACTTTAATTTTTAAAACTTGGAGAAAAAAGTAAATAGAAATGTTTACTCATTTCATAAATTAGCTTAATCTGCCCTTCAATTAGTTAACCTGATAATATTTTAACCAGAGCTTTCAGCACAATACATCTATCCTTTCCTGTTTCTCTTTATGATTAGCATTCCTTTCTGTGCCTCAGCAAGAGTCCTCTCTTTAGTTAACAACACAAATGTTAAATTTCATTTACTTTACAAAACATGGTACTGACCTTCTCAAAAAAAAAAAAAACGTATTAGATATTCATCATAAGAATGTTATCAGTTATACAGACATCAATATAACAACATGCGCTACCACTGGGGCTCTAGGAAATTCTTCAAATGTCATTCCAATATTTTCAACAAGGCAAGAAAAAAAGGCAGGCTTCAAATCATAAAAGGCTCATATGTCCTAAAATGCACCAGGACTTTATCTGGTAGGTCTAGAGACCTAAAAATCTGGAGTGAATAAGAATCACACACCTGGTTAGCTTTTTTTAAACAAAGTCAATGTTCTTATCCCTAAAATGTCTTTTCAATTTGTCTGGATTGCTGTATAGAAACATGGACTGTGGCTGATTCTGATGCATGTGGCTCCAATGAGAGTTTTATTTCTTGTTGTTTTTTTTAATGTTTATTTATTTTTGAGAGAGAGAGAGAGAGAGAGAGAGCAGAGGAAGGGCAGAAAGAGAGGGGGACAGGAGCCAAAGTGGCTCCATGCTGACAGCAGAGAGCTGGGGCAGCCACAAACCCTAAGATCATGACCTGAGCTGGAGCCAGATGCTTAACTGACTGAGCCACCCAGGCACCCTGAGAGTTTTCTTTTTTAATATAAGAACGTATGCAAGTAGATTTTTATTTTTAAAGACTGCTATGTTAAACATATTGAGGATGGGTTTTTGGATGTTGGAGTCAGGAAGACAAGTTAGAGGGCTAATATTTTAAACGAAATGAGTTTTCTGAGAGTTGAAATGCAATAGAGTCAATGAATCTGAAGCTCCAGGTGATGGTTCCAGGGATATTTAGGAAAACAAACTGAGCCGAACTGTTGAACATTTGGATATATGGCATAAATGAACACAGACTTTTTGTGTCTTCCTTGGACTTTCCTTCTGCCCACTCCTGCATGTACTCACTCATATATTTAATTCTTTTAAAGGGAGCATTACTGATACCCTGTCAGATTTTTTAAAAATGACCTTCAAAGAAATCCCTGAAATATATAGAGTCCCATATTGAATATAATTTTCCATCAGAGAAACATGAGTGAAAAAATCACTAAGGTATTTAATGCTGTAACTACTATGCATGTGGCTCTGAAAAGAAAAAAATTAAGTTCAGGTTTGTGTTCTGATTTATTTTACTATTTTAAGCCTGCACAGTTAACCATCTTCTTTTCTATGGCAATTAGAAGGAAATAACCTCAAGTTATTATATTCTAGGCCCCCAAAGCTTTCTAATAAGCTCTTTAAAAACTACTAGGCTCTTATTAGATATGGTTTGTGAGTATTTTTTCAGTCGTTGGGTTGTTGTTTCACTTTCTTGATAGTGTACTTTGGCCACAAAAGTTTTAATTTTGATGAAGTCAAATAAATGTATTTATTTATTTATTTTATTTTGTTACTGGTGCTTTTGGTGTCATATTTGAAAAATCATTGCTTAATCCAAAGTTGCAAAGATGTATATTTATCATTTATTTTAAGAAATTTATAGTTTTAGATCTTATATGTAGGTCTTTGATTTCTATTGAGTTAATTTTTGTGTATGGTTTGAGGTACAGATTAAAGTCACATTTTGCATAAAAATGTTCAGTTATCATTAACATGATTTGTTGAAAAGGATATTATTTCCCCATTAATAATCTTGGCACCCTTGTGAAAAATCAATTAACCATCCATGTATGGGTCTAGTATAGGATTCTCAGTTCTCTTCCTTTGAGCTATGTTTAATTGCTATTTCAGTATCTCACTGTCTTGATCAAAGTAGTTTATATTAAGTTTTGACATTAGAAAGTATTACTTTCAATTTTGTTCCTCATTTTCAATACTGTTTTGATTATTCAGGGTCCTTTGAAATTCCAGATGAATTTCAGGATTAGCTTGGCCATTTATGCAAAAAGAGCAGTTGAAATTTTAATGAGGATTGCACTGATTCCATAGAGTAGATAAGTTTGGGCAATATTGCCATCTTAATTAACAATGTCAAATCTACTATCCAGTAACATGGGATGCCTTTATTTATTTAGGACTTTTAAAATTTTTTTGTTATTTCTTTTGTACAAGTGTTGCACTCCTTGGTTAAATTCATATAAACTAACTTCTATAAGGGAACAATAAAAAAAACCAAAAACTCAACAAACTATAGACAAAGGCCCTGAGTAGACATTTCTTCAAAGAAGATAGACAAATGGACAAATGACATGAAAAGATGCTCCAGAACAGTAGTCACTAGGAAAATGCAAGTCAAAACCACAATGACATACCATTTTGCAGTCACTAGGGCAGTTATAATATGTATGTGTGGTGTGTACATATATGTTGGTTATATACATCACAAAAAATAACAAGTGCTATTATACAGAATAACAAGTGATGATGTACAGAAATTGGAACGCTTATACATTGCTGGTGGGAATGTAAAATGTGCAGCCACTCAGAAAAGTCTGGCAGCTCATCAAAAAGTTACAAATAGGGGCGCCTGGGTGGCGCAGTCGGTTAAGCGTCCGACTTCAGCCAGGTCACGATCTTGCAGTCTGTGAGTTCGAGCCCCGCGTCGGGCTCTGGGCTGATGGCTCAGAGCCTGGAGCCTGTTTCCGATTCTGTGTCTCCCTCTCTCTCTGCCCCTCCCCCGTTCATGCTCTGTCTCTCTCTGTCCCAAAAATAAATAAACGTTGAAAAAAGTTACATATAGAGTTACCATATAACTCAGAAATTCTACTTCTAGGAATTAAAAACACACGCTCACACAAAAACTGTTACACACATTTCCATAGTAGCATCGTGCATAAGGGCCAAAAAGTAGAAACAACCTAAGTAACCTTGAAATGATGAATGGACAAAAAAAAAATGTGGTACAAGAATATCTCATTTTATTGATATTGCTTTGCTTTATTGCACTTTGCGTATATTGCATTCCTTACAAATTGAAATTTGTGGCAATCCTGCATCAAGCAAATGTAGTCACCATTTTTTCAACAGCATTGCTCATCTCTGTATCACATTGTGGTAATTCTCACAAGAGTTCAAGCTTTCTCATTATCATTATATTTGTTATGGTAATCTGTGACCTTTGATGTAGTAACATACAATAGTAATTGTAATTGTTTTAGAACCCATAAACAAAGTCCATATAAGGCAGCAAATGTGATCAGTAAATGTCATGTGTGTTCTGACTGTTCCACTGACCAGCTGTTCCCCTTTCTCTCTCCTCTGGCCTCTCTATTCCTTGACACACACCAATATTAAAATTAGGCTAAATAATGACCCTACAGTGGTCTCTAAGTGTTCAAGTGAAAGGAAAAATCACTTGTCTCTCACTTTAAATCAAAGCTAGAAATGACTAAGCTTAATGAGGAAGACATGTCAACAGCCAGGACAGGCCAATAGCTAGTTCTCTTGTGCTAATTATTAAGTTGTGAATTCAAAGAAAAAGTTCTTGAAGAAATTAAAAGTGCTACTCCAACGAACACATGAGTGATAAGAAAGTGAGTCTTTTTTCTTTAAAATTTTTAACATGTATTTATTTTTGAGAGGCAGAGCGAGACAGAGCACGAGTGGGGGAGGGGCACGGGGGGGGGGGGGGACACAAAAAACCAAACACCCTATCGGGCTCTGTGCTGACAGCTCAGAGCCTGATAGGGAGCTTGAACTCACAGACCACGAGATCATGGCCTGAGCTGATGAGCCACCTGAACTGACTGAGCCACCCAGGCACTCCAAAAGTGAAAAAGTCTTATTGATGACATGGAGAAAGTTGTAATGGTCTGGATAGAAGATCAAACCAGCCACCACATTCCCATAAGCCAAAGCCTAATCCAGAGCAATTTCTTCAATTCTATGCAGATTGAGAGAGGTGAGGAAGCTACAGAAAAAAAAAAAAAGTCTGAAGATAGCAGAGATTGGTTCATGAGGTTTCATTTTTGCATTTTTGCTGTTTTTGTATTTTTTTATGCCAGTTAGTTAATATACAGTGTAATGCTTTCAGGAGTAGAACCCAAGTATTCATCACTTACATATAACACCCAGTGCTCATCCCAAGTGTCCTCCTTAATGCCCATCACCCACTAGCCCATCCCCCTACCCAATACCCCTCTAGTAACCCCATTTGTTCTCTGTATTTAAGAGTCTCTTATGGTTTGCCTCCATCTCTGATTTAATCTTATTTTTCCTTCTCTTCCTCTATGTTCATCCACTGTGTTTCTTAAATCCCACATATGATTGAAGTCATAGTTGTCTTTCTCTGCCTGACTTATTTCACTTAGCATAATATGCTCTAGTTCCAATCACATTGTTGCAAATGGCAAGATTTCACTCTTTTTAATCACTGAGTAGTATCTATTTGTGTGTGTGTGTGTGTGTGTGTGTGTGTGTGTGTAAGTATATGTATGTATGTATGTATATACACACATACATACACACACCAATTGCACTACTAGGTATTTATCCAAAAAGGCTCATGAGATTTAAGGAAAGAAGCCATCTCCATAACATAAAATTACAAAATGAAGCAGGAAGTATCATGTAGTAGCTGCAGCAAGTTATCCAGAAGAGCTAGCTGAGATAATTAATGAAGGTAGCCTAAACACCAATTTTTTAAATGTAGATGAAAAAGACTTATAGTGGGAAAGATGCCATATAGAACTTCTATAGCAAAGAAGAGTAGCCAATGCCTTGCTTCAAAGCTCCAAAGGATAGGCTGACTCTCTTGTTAGGGCTAATGCAGCTAGTAACTCTAAATTGAAACCAATGCTCATTGACTATTCTGAAAATCCTTGGGCTCTTAAGAATTATGCTAAACTGGGGTGCCTGGGTGGCTCAGTCAGTTAAGCATCCAACTTCAGCTGAGGTCATGATCTCACAGTCTGTGAGTTGGAGCCTCCCATTGGGCTCTATGCTGGCAGCTCAGAGCCTGGAGCCTGCTTTGGATTCTATGTCTCCTTCTTGCTCTCTCTGCCCCTCCCCCACTCTGTCTCTGTCTCTGTCTGTCTCTCTCTCTCTGTCAAATATAAACAAACAAAAAAAGAATTACACTCTGTGCTCTGTAAATTGAATAACAAAGCCTAGATGGCAGCACATCTGTTTAAAACATGGTTTACTAAATATTTTAAGCTCACTGTTGAGACTTTTCAGTAAAAGATTCCTTTTGAAATATTGCTTTTCACTGACAATGCGCCTGACCACTCAAGAGCTCTCATGGAGTTGTACAATAAGATTGATGTTGTTTTCATGGCTGCTAACACAACTATTCTGCAGCCCATGGACCAAGAAATAATTTTGATTTTCAAGTCTTATAATCTAAGAAATACATTTCCCAAGGCTAGATTTTCCATAGATATTAATTCCTCTGATGGATCTGGGCAAAGTAAATCTAAAATTTTCTGGAAAGGATTTACCACTCTGATGCCATTAAGAACATTTGTGATTCATAGGAAGAGGCCAAAAAGTGCCAACATGAAAAAGAGTTTGG